AAATTGTTTGTGTGTGTGCGTTTGTCACTCTTAATCAAAACAAATATACAAGCAGTACATCCAAATAGTGTCAAATTCAATTTTTAAACATTCTCAAAGTTCATACTAAATTTGATATTGCTGATAAGTATTGCTTAAAGTGTTCGATAGTGATAAACGCTGTCCCTTTCGTATTTAATTAACTTTCTCACATATAAGTCACTTGAAACTTTAAAGAAGAACGGACAATGCGATTGGCTTTAATTACTTGTAACGCGTTTAGGAATCTCATATAGACACCTACTAAGCTGATAATGTTTAATTATTGCAGAATTTCATGATATTCACTACAGTTTTAAATTCTGATACTCTTCTTTGCTGCCTAGTACGACAATTATAATAAAAAATTTAAAGAAAATCAATTCTCTGAGTATTGTGTGAAATGGATCAGAATCAACTCGGGGCAGACAGAAAGACTTTAACATTTAAGCCAATGTTTATTTATAAAATCTCTTATAAATTTAAGCCAAAGGTCAACCATAGTTTTGCTATTCTGTAGCTTATAAACATGTGCAAGTTGTTTCTATTTGCGTGCACTGTGTAGCATCCTTTGAAATGTGAACTACTTGTATTTCCTTAAAATTATGTCAGCTTGCATTACTCGGCATATATATGGAATATATATATACAAGTACATGGAATATATTCCATGTTGCTGACCGGAGCACTTAACCAGAATGCGAATACATCTTGACAGGGCAAGCAAAATAGTTTCAAGAGTTTTTAGAAACTGCGCACGAATAAATGCAGAGCCCCTACATTATAATGCAACAGAAATAGTTTAAAACATTTGAATAAAATGTTCCAGGCGTTGAACAGGGGATTGTGCGAGTAGGTCTAAGTTTCATATCACTTACCAGTACGTGTTCATGAGGCAGACTGGCCAGAGATTTATGAAAGTCCCCAGAACCGGACCTGCTATTCAGCACAGTAAATCATCATTTTCTTGTGTTGAGTACGTATGAGTATGTGGGTGTAACTGAAACACACACACATACACACATAATACACAGAGGCCGCATTAATGTCGTGGATGTTTCCTCCCTAGTCCTGTGCAAAATAGAAAAAAAAAAAACATAATGCCATAATGCCAAGGCAACAGTGGCACAGAGCGCATAACAGTTAGTGCGAATAACGAGCGCACCAAAGTCGAGAATGGCCAAAGGATGCTGCACACACACGCACACACATATAAACATTAATATGGACAGGCAAATATTTCTATTGAAATACAATTATTTGAGGTAGGCTTTAAAGGCGATAGACACCTCTATAAATGTAGTTGTGAGCGACAACCAAAACAAACATTGTCACATAAATAAATAGACCGGGTTGAACAAACACATGCACAACCACAATCACACTCTCGCATGCAACGTTACAATCATAAGTCATTCAAATACAAATGCCTTGTCAATTGGCGGTCGGCAAATAAAATGAGAAATAAAATAAAATATAGAGACAAATGCTACAAACCTAACAAATGTCTAACAAGCGAGCGAATGTCGTGCATGTTGGGACAACAGGACCAACTGCCAGACTTAGCTGTGTTTGATGGCTTGCGTTTCGCACAGGTACTCAATATTTTCCCGCCACCATAAGCGCGCAAACTCACATACACTCTGACAATTTGAATTTAAATGAAATCAAACAGATAGGCGGGTCTGACGCAGGCATTTTAAGAGATTCTCCTTAATGGATTCACATTATTAACAAATTAATTTTGATTTCCCTTGTGCACTCAGAAACGAATAGTTTGCTTAATTCAAAGGTGCATCGACATACTCTTGTGCTCACGAGTATATCGTACACAAACGACAACAACAATATATAATACTATTCCTGTTACAGACATTTTTTGAAAGCATTATCGGCTAAGATTAGTGCAATTTAAGTTTGTATTTCATATTTTGTGTGATCCGAAAATGCATCGAATAGGAGGAGTTTGTTAAAACCATATCTAGTAGCTCCACGACCAGAGGATTTATTATTGTAGTTTTTACTTCCCAGAGCTTAATACCACCTTCGCCTGTACACTTCTTTAGATGCAGTACTTTGCTTGAACTTTTTGAATCACTTATTTTTCTCTGAGTGCATTACATACAGGTTTGTATTTGTAGCACTCCTGTGGCGCACAATTTGTTGGGGCAAAAAGAAATCAATAGAAACAAAATGTTTTGCCGCGTGCTTCGATGTTACTGTCAACGTTGCTGTTGTTGTTGTTGATGTTGTTGTTGTCGCGGTCGCCGTTCCCGTTGCCGTTGCCGTTACTGTCGTCGCTTTGATTTCGCTCACGAAAATGGCAATATGTATGTTGTTCTGGTTGGTGGAGCGAACACCTCGGCTAAGCAATTTCAATTTCGACAGCAGCAGCAGCAGCCACAACAACAACTAAGTATGCAGAAAAAAAAACAAGACGAAAATGAACATGTCAACAGCACGCGCCATTTTGTTAGGATTTGGGGGCTTGAATGTTTTTCGCTGAGCGCACCGCAAAATTTTTAGCAACTTTGTAAATATTACAAAATTTAGGTGTCTCGCTTGGCGAGCGTGCCAATGAAATATTTATGTGTCGGTGTGTGTGTGTGTGTGTATGCGAGTGTGTTTATGTTTGTATATTTGTTTTGCCCAAATGCCGCCGTCGTCATCGTCGCCGTTCTCTGTAAATAAGAGTATGCAAGCAAGTCAGTTTGTGTACTAGTATCTGTGTATTCGAGTATACGAGTGTAGTATAGTATGTGTGGCATAAACCGACCGCAGCCAGTCTGCCAGTCTGATAAACAGACAATTTGGCAAAGTGGATACGTGCAGTGCGCATATAATTTTGGCTACACCTGAGCCGGGCCTAGCAAAGTGTCGGCCAGGAACACCACCACCAACAACAGCAATCGTGTTCCTCGCAACAGATTGCAGAGCGAATTTGTGGGCTTGTGTTAAGTTGGTTGGTTGCTTTGGCTGATGAAGCGGTAACACTTAAACGACAGTAGCACTTAAGGTGACATTGACTTTCCTGGCAGGCCAACAGCAGCAATACTTTCGGTTCTTCAAATCACTCATGATTTTCCTTTAGTTCAGAAACAAAAAGAGATTTCATTTTAATTTTTCTAACTATTTTGATAAGTCTGCAATGAGAAATCACAATTTTTTTGCTTTACTTTAGTTCAAAATTTTCGTACGATTAAAATAAAACAAATTTATTAACGTGCTCTTGTCTCAATCGTTTTCATATTTCTCATCAATCATAAAGCTTGCTGGTTTCATTTTCCAACTGCGCTCCGTGTATTTACATGCCGTCTGGCACAAATCAATTATGTATTAATTAAATCAAATTCATGCAAATTTATTGCTGTCCACCGTCCGACTGCCTCAGACCCGTCCGTTCACTCCTCCATGCGCTGGACGCGTAATGCCTGCTGCAACTGCCATAACTTTTACGATTTTAATCGGTAAAATTTATGGGTTTTTTCGCACAATTTCCCCACAGACCGCACATTCAAAAAAGAAAACAAACTGACGCAAAAATAAACAGAAATAAACAAATTCAAACGCACAAATACTATTCCGAATGTATGCATCAAAAAGAACACCTATAAACTAAACTTTGCCGTTAGCTGCTGTTAAAAATTGTATGCGCTAAATGAAAGGCAAAGGCAAACAGCCGAAATGTGCGCCATACTCGCATGTGGTTGGTAGACACACTCACACACACACACACACACAACGAAACTTACGTACATACAACTGTGCCGTGACCACGAGCGCGTTGCCTTCATAATTTGTGCAGACCCAACATAATAAATTCATTTGACTTCCCACTCCATGCGGTCGCCGAAAGTTAGTTGTGTGGCAATAACAACAACAGCCACGGCTATGGCTACGGCATTGGCATCGGTTCCATCAGTGATAGCCGTTGGCAGCTGTTGATTTTTATGTAGGCGCTCCTGGCTGCTGTCAGCACTTGATTTATGCCGCACGAAATTCAATTGCAACTGGCCAAGTGGTCAACTGGTTAGCCGCTCTGACTAGCCAATTGGTAGCGACAACTTATTTGTTTTAGATAGCAGACAAGCTCTAAGCCTGCCCTTTGATGTAATTCTCTACATACAGTATATATGTATCGATGGTGCACTTTAAAAAAAAACTGTTGTAATGAAATGCTGCTGAAAATGTGCTAAGTTTCAACAGATTTATAATCACAAAGCGTAATTACAATATATTTTCACATCTAGATAACTGCTTTCATATTTCAATTTTTAGTTGGTTAATTAGCATTTTAAATTCAAATTTTAAGTTGAAGTGATTACTACCTTATTAGTATTAAAGTTAATAATTATGAAAATAAGTAACGTAAAGACGTGTTTTTCAGCTAATATACCTTTTGGATTTGTATCCCAAACTACTGCTGTCCCATAGGATAGATAGGTACATAAAAAATATAAAACACTTTAATTACTATATTCATTTTAGTAAGTCAAGTGATAGTAATTTGATAATTCTTCAGACTTAAATCTAGTCCTAATCTAACCGATATAACTAATAATAATGTAGAGCATGGGTTGTCGGCCTTACTTCAGGGCCTTACACACACTCGCTTTAGTTTATTTAATTACTTTATTGTGTAATTATACATTTACATATTACATTTGTTTGACTCTGGCTGATCTTTTTTGCACGAGCACTTTCAATACTTCTTTCCGCCTCAACAACTCAGGCCCGACTGACTGATCTGATTCTGCTTATGTTATTCCTTCGTTTCCTTTCCTTGTCATTCTCTTTGTCTCTCTACTTATGCTGACTGTCATTTCCTAAACAGGGCTGCTGTATAACAGGGCTATAGTATAATATTCTACCACTCCTACAATTATAATAATAATAATAATAATTTTTTCAGTGTACTCCTTCGAACGTTTTGCGCTTTGAACTAACTAATTCGATTTATGTACTTTTTTGTTCAATTGCAGGTCAATGCGGGCAGCTTGTCTGAGCAGGCTGGCCTGCAGCCGGGCGATGCAGTCATCAAGATCAATGACGTTGATGTCTTCAATTTCCGGCACAAGGATGCACAGGACATAGTTGTGCGCTCGGGTAATAACTTTGTCATTACAGTGCAGCGGTAAGTTGAGTTGCTTCTGATAGTGGTGTTGTGCAGTTGCTGCGGCACTTCATTTGCAGAAACCCATGAAATTGTGTCTTTGGTAACATTTCAGCGGCGGGTCGACTTGGCGCCCCCACGTGCAACCCACCGGCAATCTGCCGCAACCGAACTCCCCATATTTGCAGACAGTGACGAAAACTTCTCTGGCTCACCAACAACAGGATAGCCAACATATTGGCTGTGGCTACAACAACTCGGCGCGTCCATTTGTAAGTTCACTAATTTGTAGCATACATTTGTGCGGCTCATTCCATTTTAACATGGCAACAACATCATTTATAAATTGCATAAGCCGGTTTGTCGCCCAACTTCAAAAGTGTAAAGTTTTAGTGTCACACACACACACACACGCTCATACGACTTACATATATCCATTTACTAATGCCCAACTCAGTGGTTAAGTCTCTCGGGCCAACAACTCAGCGTCCAGCGTCCTGCGTCCAACAGACTGCCGCCTGATCTCTGCTGATGACCAATGATGTTGATAGTTAGTTGTTGGCTGACACATTTTGCGTTTATTTTGTCTGTGGCTTTTCATATTCATTCATTTCGTTTCGTTTGACAACATTTGCATTTATACGATGTCTGTCAGCTTGTCTCTTTTGTCTGTTTCGTTGTGTGTGTGTGTGTGTTTCTGTGGGGTAGTTCTGAAAAGTGTCAGAATGAGTAATGAATATAAGTGCGAGGATTATTTGTTGGCAAGAATTAATGTGCAAAAGGGTCGGCAAACATGAACACACACACACTCATAGACAGAGAATGTTATGCTATGCATAGTAAATTCAACATCTATGTTCATATTTATGTGTAGGTTTATGTGCGTGCGCCCACACATATGCATACATTTATGCCACTCGCAGCACACTCGTATACTCGTACATATATTTTATTGTTATGAATTTGTATAATAATAGCAGCATCCCAGTGTACTAACGACCTAAGCAAAATTGAATTAGGCTTAGAAATTAGAGATGTGCGCGTGATGAAGTCTCTCGCTACACATATTACTTGTGCAATCACGAAGTCAATCGTACTTTCACTATTTAGGGAATAATTTATTCTTTCAATTATTATACTTTGTTTGCATATTAACAGCACCGACACACATTTCTAAATACTAATATTTTGATAAACTACATCCAAATTATGATACTCTCTTGCATTCTCTTTATGCTACCATTTTTATTTATTTAAGAAAATATGCATTCTTACTACAAAATCATTCACAAAATCATCTCAATCGCATTCATTTATCTGCACTAACATAAACTCACACTCGAGCACCCAAATATTCATTGATAGATTCGGTTTTCATATTTCCACAGACCAACGGCGGCGATGGCGGCGTGAAGAGCATTGTCAATAATCAATACAACACCCCCGTTGGCATTTACAGCGATGAATCTATTGCGGAAACACTTTCGGCCCAGGCGGAGGTTTTGGCCGGTGGTGTGTTGGGGTAAGTGAGATGGAAAAAGAAAACAACAGTAGTCAAGTGTCAAGTGATGGGGAACTGTGCAAAAGTAGCTACAAGAAAAACAGCAACAGCCATTTGAATTATCCGTACTATCTCTCCCATTTCTTCACGGGCTTAGCTTTGAAGCTGGCAACAGCAACACCAACAACAACAACAGTACCAGCAAAGGCAACAGAAGTGGCACGAAAGTTTTACTTTAAAATTTGCTTTCCGTACTTTTTACTCGTTTCTTGTGTGCTTATTTTTATGTTTGTGCGGCCTCTGCTTACGATTCTTTTTATTGTTGTTCTGTTGCAAAGGCAGGCCGGCCCTAAAAAGCGTCAGTGTGGAGAGTTTTGTAGCGTGCGGCGCACGAACGACCGCAGCGTCCTCTAACTGTGAGTGCAATTTTGTAAATGATGGTTGGGGCTGCAAAGTGTTTGTTTGTTGCTGCGGTTGCTGCTGGTAGTCAGTTGGCGACTTCGTTTTTTATTCGTACACGCGGCAAATGCACGCGTGGGACTGGCGCGCTTTTTGCACTTAATTTCTTGAGGGAATTTCCGCTGCTGCTGCTTCTGCTGTTGTTGTTGTTGTTATTGTGAAAGCTCTGGAATTGCTACATTTTTCCGTTTTACTCTTCTATGCCGCACATTTACTTAGGCCAATGCGGCGTATGCGCAACAATGTGGCCGCACCACTTTTTACTGCATACTTTTGTGCGCTGCAAGAGTTTTTCCCAGCAAGCAGCTAAAAGTATGCAGCGGAAAGTGAATAAATAATTAAAATGAACATGAACAAAGCGTTTTATAATGTTTGTATTCTGATTTCTATTTTTGGCAGCGTGAACTTCAAGAAAAACGAAAAGGAATACCAGCCCGATCGTTCGGAGGTGTTGAAGTTCTTGCGCGAGGAGGAGACTGGCCAATCGACTCCAGGTAATTGCCGTTCAGTTCACAACTACGAGCTGGCGCGTCTACTTTTAATTTTGAATGACGGCGCTAATCCGTTTGTAAGCGATAATTTAGCAGATTAGGGGATGGGCTGTACTATACTAAGTATATAACACCGCATGTTTTTTAGTAAAACAGCCAGGTGGGGTAGAGGGGACCTTAATGGGCCGAACGCCAACTTCGCGCAGGTATTTATATATTCAGACTAGACGACGTTTCGTATAATGTACGAGCAGCAACTTATAAGTTATATTTTTTTAAAACACAGAGAAAAGACCTTGAAATGAAATTGTTTTACATTGAGTAAGCATTTTTATTTTTACACTTCAGTGTGCAGATTTGAATGTAAAGGCAGACAGATGCGATATTCAATATGCTTGGTACTTATTTAATTTTGTTTGTTTTTTATTTATTTATTTTTTGCGTTCAACGCTTAGACAAACAAAAAGAAATGGACTTTCGTTTTCTTTATGTCAAAACGAATTTCTGAATCTAAATACACGAATGTTTTCATATCATTTTTCATAGTCATTGTGCACTAAATTTACGTTAGTCATTTCTATACCCTTATTTTTCAAAGTCATTTGTGGAAAGTTATAAGCAATTCTGTTAGGATTAAATTATATTCAAAAATATCAAAGTATTATGGCTGGTTTACAGACTTCTTGCTTGCGAAATATGTATTTGTGTAGACTCCACCATATAACTTCACTTTATATGTGAATTTATTTATTGAATAGGACAAACTTTGGCTTGCTTTGCTAGAAAAGGGCTGAATCAAGCTCTTATATATTTGCTAATTAAATAGTTGAATGTTCAGTGTTATTTTTTGTAAATTATATCCATATATGTGCGGCGTAAAACTAAACATATCTACGACTGTATTTCTTAACATATTTTCGTTTAACTCATATCTGTATTGAAACTGTTTTTCATGTATGTGCCATACAATAACAATTCGCTGAATTGTCTTCTTCATCAATACTGCAATACAAAACACAACACAACAACAATAACAATGGCCAAAATCAATGACAACATGGCGAACATATTACATTCTCAAAGCATTCAACAATTATCAACAAGATACACAGCAGCAACAATATCAGCAGCAACAACACCAGCAACAACACCAGCAACAACACCAGCATCAACATCAACACCAACATTATCAGCAACAACAGCAATACCAACAACCACAACCACAACAACAACAATCAAGCACGCGACATGTTAGCGCGCCCGTAAATACCCCCAAGCCCCCAAGCACTGGCGGACTACCAACTGGTCAAAACATTTGCACTGAGTGCGAACGCCTCATTACGTAAGTTGCTAAGCTGCTAAACCAATAAAAGATCTGATGTGTGATAGTAAGACATACTACATTATTGTGTGTATTAAGCTTGCATTTGTGTATGCACATCGACTAACACCAGCTACAACAATAACAAACGTAGTTGGCAGAAATCATTGTGGTCTCTCCATTCATAAGTTACTAAATTGTCACTAAATCTTTAGGAGCGAGCGTATAGGGCTGCTGTTAAATGGATAGGTTCCTGGGGTGTACTTAGCTTAAGAGTGTTCATTGCATTACATAAATACATGCCGACCTATGTGCCAAATGACTTATAACTGATTGAACTTTTGTACCGTACCATCAACAACAAACGCCATATCAACAAAACGATGGATTGCAGAACCGCACAGTCCCGCAAATTTCTATTGGACGCAGAGTCATGCGATTGGTGGTAATGAGCGACGCACCCCATTGCCGGCGCAGTTACAGCAGCAGCAGCAGCAGCAACAACAACAACAACAACAACAACAATCGCAAGTAGCACGTCAGGATGAACGCATCGGCACCAATTTGCAGCCAAATACATTGGCGCCTGCTGCACCTCATAGGCCGAGTTTGCCCGTCACAGGAGCCCAACCGGCAGCTGAGCCGGCGACGAGCGGCGCCGCTGATGCAGACCCCCGCATCATTGTCATGCCCATTTGTCCGGCGCTGCAGGGGCCGGAATACAAGGCGGATATGGACGCGGCCGCAGAGGCATTGGCTAGCGATGGCGGCAGCAAGCGTCCATTGTCCGCCAGCGGACATCCGGCATGTCAATTGTGCGGCGTGGGCATTGTGTAAGGATTTGTTCGATGTTCAATGATAATTCATGCGACTGTACCATTGTGTGTGCGAGTGTTAGTATGTATGTGTCTGTGTGTCTCCCTATTAATATGTTTATACATGCGATAAATGCAACAAAACAGGTTTCACCAAAATTCAAAATATTTGTCATACTTTTTTTTTAAACCGCTTACTTGTACGAATATGAAGAATCGAACTGTAAAATGGAAAACCTTATCTTAATTGATGCTGAGAATAATTGTCTAACTGACCTCTTGATTTGCCAAATTGCTATATATGTAGTAGAAAGGGAAACGCCAAAATTGCAATTGTCTGCATCGTGTAAACATCGTTGCGATTCAGTCTGCATATGTGTGTGTGTGTGTGTGTGTGTGGGTGTGTGTGTGCATTTTAATTTGTTTTTATTTCATGCGCTCGCTTATTGTGGCATCTAGCAGGCAGTGCGAATCAAATCGAATCATCGGAGTCTATTGTTGAAATTTATGCAGTCTGCATTATTATGAGTCCGCCAACACCTTCACCAGCATGATGGCCATCGTAATTGCCTCGTCCAACAACAACAACAACAACGACAACGGCCACAGCTGCAGCTGCACGTTGCAATTTCAGCTTCATTGGCCGTTTCATTGTGCGATTCTTTTACATACGGATCTCATCATTTGTATTAATTTGTATGCCGTTTAATTGCTATCAATTTCAGACTCATGTGCTTAATTTGATAATTCATTGTTGCACTGTGCAAATACATTTACATATACCTACCTACCTGCCTGTCTGCCTCATTGTCATCTTGTTAATGAGAAGGGCTTTGGTTTGAAACTGGCGACCATTTATGCGGCAGCTAAAATGTTCATTTACTGATTTTATTTTTTAAATAGCCCTGCATTAATGCTTATATAAAAATACTCTGATGTACATACACAAATGCATAAAATGAATTAAATGTTGAGTAGATATTTTATTTACTCATTGACTTACTCTCCCTTATCAAAATACTTATGCTATCTCTCTCAGTGGCGTGTTTGTGCGCATCAAGGACAAGAACCTGCATGTCGAGTGCTTCAAGTGCGCCACTTGTGGAACCTCCTTGAAGAACCAGGGCTACTATAACTTCAACAACAAGCTGTATTGCGATATCCACGCCAGACAGGCAGCGCAGAACAATCCACCACCTGGCACCGACGGCTATGTGCCTGTGCCCATTAAACCGTGAGTACTAAAGAAAAGTATATACGAGAAGCGTACAGGATCTACAGTTTTGTAAAATTGCCGAGCTTTAACAGTTTTGGGTAAATAAAAATCATTCTCTATATGCTGCCAGAATTCTGGCAAGGGTCGGTTCTACACCTGTGCTTAGGACCCATCTGTGTGGGCCTGGGTCTCGGTCCTAAAGGCAGCGTCATAAACCAAATGTGTTTATTTCTGAAATTATTCCCACGAACAAGTCAAAAATGTGTAAATGCAAAACGAAGTATAAGCTGAAGGATATAAGAAGCTCAAGAATGGGTTTCTATTCAATGTGAATGGGATGCATGGATATTTTTAAAGTTCGGTAAAGTCACTCGAATCGAAGCTTACTCGAATTTGTATTAAACGCTGATAACTGGCTTCAATTACAACCAAAAATGTATTTCCGTATATTAAACTGGCTTCGAATTTGCATACCGATATGTAATGCTATTTGCGTGTGTCTGGCCCAACCAGCTGATACGGAGAGGTTGTCATGCGCTTGCCATTGTCTTGTTGTAGGTTGTTTCTGATTTTTATGGGCAATTGCGCAGGGTGTCCCGAATAAATGTACGCAGTGGAAATAAATAAATATGCATATGCCGAAAAATGTTTGACATATTGCGCTGCCGTCAGCCTCAGATGCAAAAAGTGCTGAGCCGAGCAATCGCCCCGGCACGTATGCGAGTATGTATAACGATATTTACATATTTACATGACGGCTAGTGTGTCTGAGCATTTAACAATAGTTTTTGCTGAAATGGAGGCGACACTGATTGCTGACGTGTTGGCGTTCAAAATTTCTGTGTCGATTGTGTCTGCGAGTTAAAACTTTTATTAAATGAAAATGCTACGTTTGTAGTTAGGCATCAGCGACAAAGAACGATTGGTCAGTCACATGTTGTGTGCAATTGGTGTGACATTTATTTAAAATGGCCCTTTATTTGCGTTCGGGATTGCATGGCCAAGCCACAACAAGGCAGGTTCTAGCCGCCAAAGTCAACTTAATTAGAGAGCATAGTCAGTGAATGGGCGATGGATTTTATTGGGGAAATGAAACTGAACAAGCAGGGAACGCACGGCAGCCTTTGGACAGCTTTGGCCCAATTAGGCGCGTCTGTCATGGAAGGCAATTACAAACTTATTAGATGACAAATATGCCATTTGCCATTTGTCATTCCCTCATTGACTCATTCATGCATTCTTCCATTTCCCTTTGATGACAGGAACACCAAGCTGAGCGCCAACACCATTTCATCGGCCTTGAATGCTCATGGCTATGGCAGTAACGGATATGCTAATGGCAGCTCGACGCCAACACCAGCGCCGCAATCGGTGAGTAATGTGGCTCGGAACTAGTTAAATGCGTTGCGTGATAAAAACAATTTTGTGAGACAATAAAACACACACATACAGCACATTCCACATACTATACTACATACAAATGCACAAGCACAACGGTTACCGGAAGAACAACAACGGTCCTAAAGCAGCACCTGCAGCTTTTTGCCTAATTTTGTTTCTTCGCTTTCTATCGCTTTCTGTTCGTCTGCCAATAAATTTGATCATATTGAGAGCAAAAATATTTGCATACATTTTTGCTTGCATACCTTTATATTTTCCACATGCTAGAAATCGACAGGGCCCCCTACAAACCAAATAAGAAAAAATGCAACAGAATGCAACGCGAAAAGTTCGAAACGCAATAAGCAAAATGAAGAAACAAAGAGTACGGCATGAACAAAAAATTGCAGCATCTAATGCCTCTTTATTTTTCTACTATATATATACTACATATGTATATATTTATGTTTATTTATTTTTCCATTTTTTTGCTGCTTATGAGAAGGTGCACAAAAAAACCCGAAGCTATAATCGAAAAGTTTATGCATTTGTGTACTTTTTATATGATGTGTGTATGTGTGTGTGTGTTAATGTGAGTTTTCGGTTGTCTGTTGATTGTTTTTATTATACTTGTACTTGTATTCTATTCGTTTGCATGCAATTCGTGTTGAATGTTTCGTTTTTTAAATACCTGTGCAAAATAAGTAAAACAAAATGCTGAAATTACTTTGGTGCGACTGATAAAGCAATATTCCTGTTGAAAATTCTATTTGGTTCGGAAAAATGATTGAATTGCTGTGTTGCAGTAAAAAGTCATCAATTTGCACAAGCAGTATTGTATTTACTTAGAAAAAAGGTAGAATATTTGTATAACCATTTGACAGATAAGCGAACAGAACAAACAGAAAAGAATTGATTTAGATTTGTGGTAGCTCTGCTACGAATAGCAACAAGTAAATAGAGCTGACAGCCACAATCAGAGGCAGTAATTTATTCATTTATCTGGCCATTTACTGCACTTCATTCGGAAGCATACATACACTTATATACATCTATATATATTTATATATATGTATATAGTATATAGGTGAGTGTGGCTGCAGAGATTTACGCCGAAGAATATGTGTGGCCGAGAGCCAGCAGCCAGCACATTTCGCAGCAATGTGCACTGTCTGCTGAAAGCTAAATATATATGCCAAGCGCTACTTTTTATTCACCTACGAATACTTATGTATGCATTTTTATTTAATTTTAGTTTTTGTACTTATGCTATAAAAAACACACAGCTGTGCATCACTCTAGCACTATATTTTGTGTGTGTTTTTTTCTATTTGTTAGTTCTGTAGCTGCATTTTGTGGCTGCCTTCAGTCGCTTTCAGTTCGCGCCGCGAGCAGCGAGCAACGAGCCACGCGGCAATTGCCACGGCAATTGCAATACGAACGAGAATAGTGCAAAAAGATTGAAATTAATAAAGTATTCCATAAGTAGGGAAAACTTGAAAAGTAAAGTGTGCATCAATAGGCATAGTTCTGTTTAAAAACAAATCACATTAAACCTATTTTTTCGGTGTTAAGTGAGCGAAGGAATGCTCGACAGCTGTTCAGGGCATTACATAACTTGAGAAACAGATATCTTCACAAATAATTACCAGTTTTTGAAGCCTAATGGGCAATCATTATCAAGACTATGGATCTCATGATAATGTGATAATGTGTTTTTAGGGATTTCCTTAGACACGCCATTGACCTTGACCTATTAGCATCAGCTATTTATAGGGAGCGTTCGCATTGCGTACACTCGTATTCCATGTTAAGCAGAAGCCAAATGTGTATTCAACAGACATTTTGCGCAAACTAATTAAAATATTTCATTGCATTGCAAGCGCCCTTTCATTAACTGCCCTTTATTAACCCTCTTGTTCTTTGTGCTTCCACACTACTCCACTACTTTACATGAAATTGTGTGCTGCGCTGCCCATTAACACGCGTTTGTATTAACACACCCATTAGCCTGAGCATAGCAATGAGCTGCCCCTGCCACCGCCCCCCTCACCCACACAGCTGCTGCAATACGAGACCGAGTATCAGCTGATGGAGGACGCACAGATGCCACAGCATCATCAGAAACAACAACAACAACAACACCAACAGCAACAGGCTCAGGCCTTGAACAAACACACACGCACAAACAGCAGCCTCTCATCAATTTCGAGCGGCTCGAACACATCGTCGTCTGGCGTGGGCGGCAGCGGTAGTGGTGTGGGCTCCATTGAGGTCGGACAGCACAGTCTGGCCGCCTCCAGTGCATCCACACTGTCGCTGGATCTCTATGGTGGCTCGCCCATGCATTCGCGTCAAACGTCAGCGTCGTCAACATCGCTGGATGTGGCGACCGTTCTGCCGGGACCTGGCGATAATTACGTGGCTGTGTCAACAACGCCACCACCACCACCGCCGCCACCACCCATGGCAATGCCAATGTCAGCCAAACAACAGCAACAACAACAACTGCAACACGTGGCTCGGCGGCAGCAACAGCCACAGCTACCACTACAGAATGAGAATGACATGAACACGCAAAACAAGAACCATAATGCGTATAATAAATTGCTTAAAGAGTATTCCAATAAGCTGCAGCAGCAGTCCACTTTACAGAGCACACACACGCACACAGACACAGACACAGACACTCCCGCCAACATAAACCTGACACAGAATAGCAATGGCATCAACAACAACAACAACAACATCATTATCGCAAATAGCAAGAACAATACGGCGAAGCCATTCGCAGCTACATTGGCCGCACACCCACAGCAGACGCACGTGGCTGCGCTGTCGGCAACTCTTGCTAATCAATTGAAATTTAATTCACATCAGGTTGCAAATCCCCTAGCAACGACAATAACAACAGCAACTACAAAATCCGCAGCGACAGCAGCGGCGACAGCAGCAGCAACAGTCGTTAATACAAACAAGAGCAGTACAAGCAACAGCAATATGTCAGCATTGGCCAACGTGGCGGATGAGCAATCAATTTATGGCCAAATCAATACCAGTGCGCCGCTTGCTGCGCCACCCACAGCTCAGTCAACAGTGACTGGAATTTCGACGGCTGGTGGTGCTAGCTCTAGCGACCAGCCCTTTGAATATGTCACCTTGACTGGGAATGTGATTCGCAGCGTGCAGCCGCCTGGCAAGGGTGCAAACCTCAACTACAGGGTAAGTACAATGGCAGGTCAGCCGCAGCTCAGCTTAGCTCAGCTCAGCTCAGCTCTAAAAAGCAGCGCCTTGCAGCCCCTGCTGCCTGCATGTCTATTTATGGTTAACCGAATACATTTTTTTGTTAAGTGTTGAGTGTTGAGTAATTCGATCGCGAGCTTATCCCTACTACAATGTCACAAAACACTTTTCGACTGTCATTCGAAGGTCAATCAGGGCTATGCACGTCCCTATGGTGCCGCTGGTGGTCCACCAGCTGGTGCGCCCAAGTCGCCAGTCTCGTATCCACCGCAACAGCAGCAGCAATCGCCGCGCCCAGCAGCCGGCAATCCCTATGCCACCTTGCCGAGAACCAATGTTGGCCAACAAGGTAAGGATGACGACGATTATCTGTCAGAAGGTGAATGGGTTTAGGCTAAGTGCAAACAGATCTTCTCCACTCTGCTCTTAAATACAAATCTATATGCGTGATATGTGAAAGTTAACATTATTTGTTGCTAGACAGAATAGGCAGCTGATCATACGAATCATTTTTACTTAGTTTTGGGCATCGGGTTAAGCAAATTTCGCGTGCACCAATTTTTTTTTGAAATTTGCTCAACACGTTTGCACAAAGGGCTGCTCCAATATATATATGTATATGTATATACTTATACATGTATGTAGTATAGTATTAAATCTTTTGTTGTGTAAAGTTACAAAGTGATATTCAAGAGTTTATATCAAATGATGATTTTTCTAAATAAATTGAAACAAATCCAACTCAATCCGCTGCTAACCCAACGATAACCAGCTCCAAATTAGAATTGTAACGGAATCTAGGGCGCTTAACCAAATTTACTTAACAACATTAAATGCAAATTATTTGGCAGATACGCTTGAATTAGGGACGAAGAAATGTACATTTGAAACGTATGCTAAATGCCGCAGACACATGCTCTAACATATTTATATGTACACCTCTTAAAACTCTTCGCTGTATATATATACTATATGTGTGTGCGTAGGTCGCAATGTACAAAGTTACAACATCAGCAACAACACCAGACAACAACAACAACAACAGCAACACCAATACCAACAGCATCAGCAGCAACAACAACAAAAACAGCAATATAGAAATTCATACCCTAGTGGAGCAAACAATAAATATTCTACTCTGCCCAATTATCATACTCAGTCCTATAACAACAACAGCAACAATAGCTACAGCACCAGCACCAACAACAATAATATTTATAATCGAGGTAAAGTGCAAAATGTTTTAAGCAGTTTGCGCGCTGCCACAGCCAGCCTAAGCTACAGCCAAAGCTAAAGCCAGAGCCAAAGCCAAAGCTATAGCCAAGCAGAGCCCTGCAGCCAATGTACTCGTAGTTAGTTGTCATTCAATGCAATCATTACTTAAAAAGTTAATTTGTCAAACGTCCAATTCATTCAGCTGCTACTCGAAACCCTTAGACCCTGGCAGGACGGACGCAGCCACAGGCAACAAAAAGTGTGCAGCTGGCAATTTAAGAAATTCGAAGTGCTTGAGTGCCATTTAAAGGCAATAAAGTGAACCGACTTAATCGATAGTTAAAATATTTAAAACATAAATACGGGTATACCCAAACGGGCGTGCGATACTCGTGCATCAGACAGTAGTGGGCAAGCGGCAACGGACGGGAAATTAAAACTGACAATAGCATTGTTGTAACAAATGTGGACTCAATGGGGAATGGGCGAATGGTGGAATGGGCGGATGGGCGGAGGCGGTCATTTTCAATGCCAACGCCTGCAGCGCAACTCACTTCCGGCACGTCGAATGTCGAAAGGCAAACCGAAATGCAACCAAACCGAACCGAACCAAGCCAAGCCAAACAAAACAAAGTAAGGCGAAACGTAACGTAACGAAACGAAACAATTCAAGTACATATACACAAGCACAATAAAATAAATGAAATACACTTTGTTGGCCGGGCGACTGTGTACGTCTGTGTCTGTGTGTGTGTGTGCGTGCAAGTGTGAGGATAGAAGTAGGGTAGGATAGAAGTAGGGATGATATTTCAAACAGCTCATCGGATCGACAGGATATTGATTTGTATCGTCATTACATTTACTTTCTAGGTATTACAAACTCTTGTGCCCAAAACAATATATCCGTTTACTTCTGGAAGACATAAAATATCGAATGACTATGGAACAGCTAGAAAAAGACTGTGCAGATTTACATTTCTCTCATTATCATTTTACATTTTTATTTCATATTTTTCTTTCCTATAAAGATAATGAATTTGTTCTAGTACTTGTATTTTTAAGCAACCCTCTAGTCCAGCGATGGACACATAGTGGCTGTTTCCGTTCCAAGTGCTCTTTCCAACATGCATTTCTATTTAATCGAAGATAATTATATAAAATGATTTGAAAAAGAATCTACGTAATACACGACTTTAGTTTAGTATTTTCGCTCCATACTTTTCATTAATGTTAGGTTTACGGTTTCTTTAGGCCAGTTAAAAATATTAATGGTGTTTCTAAGATTGTACATAGCATCTAGCAGCTGCAATTGTGTTTGCAATGTTTCAGTAACTTATTTGATTGCCTTTCATGTATGGTATTGGGTGGTCCGGAGCACAATTTGAATTGAATTGCTGCTCATATTTCATGTTTTAATTGTCCACTTAAAAGAACTTAGTTATATTTTGTATTAATGCTTCAAATCTAAATTGCACTCCAGAAATACTTCAGATCTTCCCTTGATTATCTACTGTGGCCACAATTTTCTCACTTACTGTTTGGCTTACGAAATATTTCCTTATGCCCACATAAATATGCAACACAATATTAATTTATGTGTGTGTGTGTGTGATAATGTACGTACAATTTTCTGTATGTTTGTTTATCAATTACCGCTGCGATGTTCGCTGTCATAACGGAAATGAATTAACAGCAAATACGGTGTACAGTAGCAGCAACAACAAATAAAACAACAACAGTGGCGATATTAATAACAGCGTCCAACAACAATAGCCATACAATTTATTGGAATTTTTTCGCGCTGCTTTTAACGTTTATAGCGGAGAGTTCGTTTTATATTTTATTTGTGCAATTTAAAATGCAATTATGGAATGCCAACACCAGACAAATATTGAAGACCAGCAGGCAGAGACAGGCAGAGACTTGGCCACACAAAAATGATTCAATTTAAAGGCCACTTCCCTAGTCCCTGACGAGCATGGTGTCTAAGATCCTTTTGGTACTGGCGCAGCCAAAACAAGCAGCTTATAAATCTTCATTATGGTGCACTTTAGCGCCGACCCACGCACAAAGAATCAATCTCTTAATCAAAGCGAAAATCACGCACAACCGCAGCAATCATTGGCTGGCATGCCACAAAAAGTTGCAAACAAAAGTGAAAGCAAGCGGGTGTGTGTTAGTCGATGGGAAAGGTGGGGAGGTGGGGGTTGTGGGGAATCTGCAGAAGCCTGCACATAAAAACAAATCCTGTTGTTGTTTTGGCAAATCCGACAATGAAGGCACACAAAACGCAAAAATGTGTTGCCAAACAAATGTTTGTGTTTCGTGCGAAAACACACACAAATTTTACACACAATACATAGGAGCACATACATACGTACTCGTATATATATGTATGTATATACACTTGTACCTTCAACAACAATAAGAACACACACATACTCGCACATACATATGTGCACGCACAAAAATGTAAACGAAAGCAGATAAATTACCAGCTATTATTATCATCCAAACAATACTACCGGGTGACTGCTCCGAGAGCTGGGAATGCGGTGATTGTTCGTGTGGGTGGAAGAGTGGGTCGGGGCGGGGTCGGGTGGGGTGGGGTGGAGAAATGGAGATGCCTCTTAGTTCGACATATTGAAGCGTGTGTGGCAGCCGTTCATCAAAAACCTCGCATGCCGCCAGCCACAATGCCAGAAACAAATTCATTTGAGGCTACGGGTATGAGTTTCAGGAAATTTTCCTAGCGAAAAGATTTATCGCATCACATGTTTTGTTAGGCATAACACAACAATAATGAAAACAACAGCAGAAAACCCCAAAAACAGCAACCGAATAGTGTGTGTAAGGCTTATATAAACTGAAAAATAATAACCATAACATTACCCTTACCCAGACACAACTGCTATATAAAATTACGATTTCTGATTCTTTTAGGTTACCAATATTCGTATTAGAACACTTTGTCCCTCTAAACCCATCAAATCAGAACAGAACAAACCCGCACAAACAGCAAACAACAAATGCCCACAAAATAATGTAAAACTGGATAAGAGCGTGCAAAGTTATGCAAACATGGTGATTTGTTTTGAATTCTACAATATTTCTATTTCGTACATACTTATATAAACACATACTTGTATTCTTTACAACCTTGTTAAACGATTCTGACTATTCTTAGTTTATAATTGACAAACCAAAAATTATGTTTATTGAAGTGTGTTATTAATAAATTATATGCGCGTCTGTGCATCATTTCAAATACATTCTTTTAAATATACATATTAATATGAATATATTTATGCACATAATGTACTTGTGTACAAGTATCAAACGCTAAACGCTTCATGCCTAACAGCATACTATATTAATGAGCTCCTATATACACCTACATATATATTTCTCGAAAGTATATACCTTATTATTCGATAAATGGTACTAATTTCAAGTGTTACAAAAGTATTCTAAGAGGCTCGACTGCACAACTTTGCATGCTTTATGTCTTATACACAAGAATCCTACTCGACACCCGGTTGTCTTTTGAATATTTTAAGCCGAGAAAATAAAAAACTACTCGTTGAGAGAATGGCGCATACCCTTTTCATATGACAAAGTATTTGCTGCCATCATTTCATATCATACTCGTATTTTACTTTTCGCCAATTGTTTTGTGGCGCCTTTACTTTTTTTATTTCCCCCCTTCTCTCTCTCCCTCTCTCTCTATCTATTTCTCTGGTCTTTTTTCTCGCTGCGTGCTTCTCTGTCATTTTCAATTTCTGCAAAATTACAGCCAATACAAAATTATGCATAATAAAAGCCAATGACTACCTGTCGACGCCATTTTGTGTGGCAGTCGAGCCCACACTCACACACTCACAGGCACACACACAGACACACACACGTAGCGAACCCATGAACAGACAGAGATGGCCGTGTACATAAAAAACGGAAGCAAATATGCGTGTCTAGCACGCAGCCTGCACCGTAGCTAAGAGTGCGTGTAGGTGTGTGTGTGTGTTTGTGTGTGTGTTTGACTGTGCGGGTTTGTTTATTGTTGTGCCATGAAAATGGCGCTGAAAATAAGAAATAAAAAATTTATTTACCTCGACAACAGCACATAAACCGTACTGCAATTCTGTACACACACAAATTTATGCTTTAATATGTACTTCTTTTGTTTTTGTTTTCGTTTTCATTTTATTCGAGTAGGCACAATATTGAAATGGATATTTTGTTTATATTTTGTTTCGTACATGTACTGATTGCCAGCAAATTGTTCGCCTTGTTTTAATTCTTAAACGCGTCCAGTGGACACATTGGGAAATGTTTATTTTGTTGTTATGTTAAGCTATGTTGAGGCATTTAAATAATATGTTCAAACAACAGTAAGGGAGTCTACTTACTAGTTGAAAGAGTTTAAAGGGAATGGGTCTTAAAATGAAACTAGTTTATTTGGAGGGAAAACAACAGACAGAGTCCGCCAATTGCTCTTTCTAAGTTATCCATGGATTTCATTTGCTACACTTTATTGCATATTGTAGTTGCTGTTTTAGCCGAAACTAACTCAATTATACTGCTACACGAGCACACAAACATAATGGAGAACCCTATTTGAGCGCCTTTGCATACAGCCACTGCCTCTTAGCCTAGTTAAGAGTGTTGTTACTATTCGTTGTGTTTGTTTCGACGTTAAAAACCTACTACTCTGCCCATGCCTGCGTTGCCGCCGCCGTCATCAATGCCGCCGCTGCTTTTTCTTCACAGTGCAAACGACTAACAAGCGAATGTCTTTTATTTCTTTCCGCTCTTATTTTTGCCTACCAATGCAATTTGCTGACTCAAAACAAACTAATCCCGCCACAACCACTACATACTATAAATTACACTGCGCTTCTCTGCGTACCTCTGCCCTCGACTTTCCAATGTCCCCTGTCGTTTCGATCCGTTTCGGCTCGCTGTTGCGCTCTCTTGGTGGTCTCAGAATCTGAGCAGGAGGAGCTGCAACCAGAATTTGCAGAGGAATGTTACGAGGAGGATATTGAAGTGGCCCTGGCAGCTAGTCGTCAGTCGCAATGCCGCTCGAGTTTCGCTTGGCCACCTCCGAAGGACGAGAGCCATGATGCGCCCACAGCGGCCCCGCTTTACATTGCACCACCGGAAACGCAGCATGTTGTGGTTTCGCGTCCGGTGCAGCAGGTACCACCGTTGCCACCGGGAAGTGCTACTACGCGCCTCGATCCGCAGCCATCAGCGCCGGGGGGGCCACAATGGCAAAGCTACTCGGCGCCTCAGTTGGGCGGTCCGGTGCAGGTGGAACCTCCAGCCATCGAGCAGGAGTCGAGCTCAGATAGCTATACTTCGACGTCGACAACGACGACTACCACATCCGAGGAGTACCAGCGTATGTATGCTGCCCAAGTGCAGGCCTATCAGCTACAGCAGGCCTACGAACAATCGGGTTCCGAGTTCGATTATCAGCTGGACTACGGCAGCTCCCAGGACGTGCACGAGAGCGCCTCTGGCAGGCGCAGTGCACAAGAATGCGTAGATTCGTTGTCTGCGCCTCTTAGCACTTACAAGCTAATCGATATGGTACGGGAGGTCACTCCAAGTCCAGTGCCGACCCCGGCTCCAGCTCCCTCCACTACAGCACCACGTCACGTGGTATTTAACGAAGAACCCGAGATTAAGGAACTGCCAAAGCTACCCACTGAGTTGGAAACCATACCCGAATCCATTGAGTGGTCCGAGAATTCAGAAGCAACGGAACAAATTCAAGGTGAAATTGAAGATCAGGAGGGCCTGATTATTGATAGGCGCTGCCAAATACTCGAGAGTCAGCGCATGTTTCAGCCCACCCCAGAAATAAAGTTTGACATTGCGCCAGTTCGTCAAATACCACCCACCAAAATACCGAATCCCATGCCCAAAGAGTGGATAAATCCCATGATTCGAGTGCTGACCACCGCTCCGGATGTGCCTTTCCATCTTGTCGAGTGTCCGTTTCCGAAGCCATGTGATGATAATTTTGAGGCCGAGGCAGCGGAAGCAGCAGAAGCGGAGGCAAAGGCACAAGTAGCTTCTAGAAGGTCAACTTTATCTGCTGCACCACCCACGGTAGACTCAACTAGCCAGTTAGGTTCGGCGCCTGATGTGCTGCGTGAGTCGCCCCCGTCCGGTAGTCGCCTCACGAAGGCTATGGTAACGGCACCCGAATTCGAGATGCGCTTTGCTCCTCCAGCCGCACAGGGCGTGCCCTTGCCCGAGGAAACGGAACCTTACATGCCGCCACCCATTGATATGAAACCGTACCTTCGCGAGGACTACCGACCCAAGTCGCCTTTCGTCAGCGCACTGACCATAGCGCCAGACGTACCCTTCGAGGGGCACTTTGATCGTGATGTCCCTATCCACCTCATTGACTTACCCACTCCCAAGGAGCACTTAAGTATGTGCGATGCCTTGTGCACAGCTCCAGATCGTGGATATACTCCACTGAATCCCGAAAATGCAACACAACGGTTGGATGAGGAACAGCGGGAAAAAGAAAAGAAAAAATATGAGTTTCAGGTTCTTGATCACGAGGAAGAGTTGGGAATAAAACCACTGTGCGAGCCACCAGAGTCAGTTGAATATTTTACGACCGAAAAGCGGCGGGACTCGCAACGAAAATCATCGGCATTCGCGGCCATGCAAGCATTCCAGCCATCGCGTGAGCCACTATCGTCTGCTGGTACTAATGGCAATGGTCCCACCACCACACCACGTGCCTCTATAATATCTCTGAGTAAAGAGCAGACTGACCTTGAGTTTCAGAAATATTGTAAGGCGCAAGAAAGAAATCAGAAGCGACTTGACTATTTCCATAAGAAAGAAGAGGAGCTGCAGCAGCAGCTGTTGCAACATCAGCCACAACAACAACCACAGCAACAACAACCACAGCAACAACAGCCACAGCAACAACAGCCACAGCAACAACAACCACAGCAACAGCAACCACAGCAAAAACAACCACAGCAACAACAACCACCCCAGCAACAACCACAACCACTGATACTCACGACCACTAATACACGCCAGGCGACTGCAACCTCGTTAGCTTCCCAATGCAATACCAATGCAACAGCTTCCTCTAACTCCTCTTCCACAGTCCACCAATCGTCCAACAACAACAACAACAACATCAACACGTCCACCTCCTCTAGCACGCCCTCAGCTTACATCGCTACTGCAACTCAGGCCACCAACAGCTTCCTTTCTGCCGCTTCTGCTACTGGCTCCACATCTGTAAATACTGTACATACCGCCACCAAAATCGATGCTCACCAACTAATCGAAGAAACTGCCGAAGAGCTCGAACACTCCGAGGTACTCTTTCCGCCACCATCCCCACTTAGCCACTTGAAAGGCAAGACCGTACAGTCTGGCTTGCATAAGGCGGACACTATACCAAAATATCAGCGCAATTGGACATCCCTGCCTACGCAGAGCCCCATACGCACACCCGAACCACAAGAGCTGCGCGACAATGTGCCACTAGCTTTTGTAGATGCACCAAAGGTTGCTGATGGCACTGGCAATATCGGCAACCAAAATAACACTGTACATAGACCCATTGCACAGGTGTCTAAGCCCAATGTACCAACCGTAGCTGCTGCGGCGCGCGGCTCCTTGGCCAGCGTAGACAGCGTCCAAAGCCAATACAAGTTACAAGTGCCGCAGCAGCCTTCGGTTCCCATTATTATAGAAGACCGTAGTGGTCCAGTAACCATGGCTTTTCAATCGCTAGATGAATATGAACGACCCGACCAGTCGCAGACTCCTACGCGCCCCTTCACTCCTTCGCTGATCAACAAGCCGGCTCCGATCATACCGTTCTACCAGACGCCGGAGAAACTCTGTTTCGACGAATGTCCGGCCACTCATGCGCGTGAATATGACCAACGCGCTGCTTCTCCGTTTCCGGATCGCGCTCGTTCTCCAGCACCAGGGCCCCCACCCAATCCATTATCTGCCATTCGTGCACCTCGAATGAAGGAACCAGAGTCTGCGCTGCTCACTCCTCCCCGTTTGCAGACGGGCTCAATTACCACCGGTCAGAGTTATCTTGGCGCTCAACAGCAACAGCAGCAGCAGGCTCAGATAATTTCCCACTCGCAGCTCAGTGCGCAGTCAGCTAGTCAGGAGTATACGCAGCAGCCGGAGATACTGACAGAGCGTAAGGTGGCAGACCTGACCATACAACAGCGCGAGCAATCCTCGCGTCTGCAGCAACAGCAGCAGTCTCAGATGGCGAGCCAGACAAAGACACAGATTGGAAATACGCAAATAGAGCGACGTCACAAGGTCGTGGAGGAGTTTGAGCGAACACAGAGTGCCAAGACCATCGAGATACGCACGGGCTCACAATCGCAGACGCAGATAAAGGCGCAGTCACAATCGCAGTCACAGTCGCAGCTACAGTCGCAGTCACAATTGAAATCGCAAGCAATAGTCCAAGCTCAATCCGAGTCTACGGAACGACGTTCGTCATATGGCCGCACTGGCTATGTGGCCGATCAGGCAAGACGTCTCTCTGGCCTAGAGCAGGAGATCAGCAATTTGACTTCGCAATCGCAGGCGATCAGTGCGAGGGCTGCTACTTTGGGCAGCAGCTCGACAGGCTTTCCACGTTCCCCAACCTTTGACACCAAGTTCCCGATTAAGCCGGAAACTTCAGCATCTGATAAATTTGAATCGACCTGCCCGGGCTATGTGGCTGTTGCGCCACCTGTCAACAAACTAGTTGGCCCGCCTCCAGGCTTCATTTTGCAACTCCAACAGCAGCAGAAATCTGCCTTTACAGCTCATGAGGCAACTGTGGTTGCTAAACAGCAGCAACAGCAGCAGCAACAGCAACAGGAGGAAAGCAACAGGAACATATTTTCGAGCATTCCTAGGGTGAATACGAATGCTACCAAATCATTGCTCCAATCATCGTCCTTGACATCGTCATCAGCATCAACGGCTCAAGCCAGTCTAACCAAAGCTTCTGCTATTACTACCACCACTAATAATCGAGCTAGTGCTGCTAGCTCGGGCAGGCAGCCACAATTGTCACAGTTGCCAAGTAGCATTCAGCGTAATGGCAATAACAAAGCTGGCAATGGCAATAATAATGCTGGCTATCGGCCAAACGCTTCCATCGCAGGTGCCAAGCCTTCAACTACAAGTGTGACAGCAACAAACGCTTCTGCAGCGCCCGCATCCGCGCCAGTCGCTTTTCCGCCCAACCTGAGCGACTTAAATTCTAATGTTGATGGTTCCACAGGTGCTGGAGGTAAAGGTGGCGCCTTTGGTGCAACCTCGGCGCCCAAGCGCGGGCGCGGCATTCTCAACAAGGCCGCCGCACCGGGAGTGCGCATCCCACTGTGCAACAGTTGCAACGTGCAGATCAGGTGAACTGATAAGCCCCTTATACCCGTACTATATATAGTGTGTTGTGTGTTTTTTTCAATGTTTACTGATTTACATTTGTTGAGTCTGATGTTACGCATGGTTTTTACAATTAAAACAAACGATTTATTACAGATTTGAGTTAATCTAAATATATTAAGAACTTACGTTTAATTATTTGTTTATCTAACAGAACTGTTAACCCGTTAATATGCCTGCATGCAACCTTTAACCTTTGCTTCCGTTTGCGTTTCTGTTTGTTCCAGCGCCTATTGCTAAGACAATTAATCTAAACTCAAACTCGACACTGCCCCGCAATCCAGCCAGCGCACAATCACCACCAGATGCGGTCGCTTACCAGACTTCAGCTTCGGACGCGGGACTGGTTGAGAGTCCACCAGATGCCACTGCCATGTTGGCCGAGTCTATCGGCAAGATCGACATGGGTGATAAAACGAATGCATTTATGCAAGAGGCAGGCAAAATTATATCCAACATGCTGGAAGCTCGCCTGGCCAATGGGAACGCACCGCTTTCCCATGCCGGCAGCTCCTTAAGCTTGCGCAGCAATAGCAGCTCGAATCTGTCAAAGAGTCCCATGATAGTGCGCAAGCGGTTAGATTTGGACGATTTCAAGAACATTGATCCCACGCAGCCAGTGGCGCTTCAGCCTGTGGTAGCCATTTGCCAAACGCCCACACACACTACAGATCTCGGCAGTCAAAAGACTCAGGGCCAGCTTCCCCGTGCTGATCAAATGCTCACCTCCGAGCTTCCCGCGCAGCATCCCATGAGCAAGATTTTAGATATATGTGATAGTGGCAAACAGATTGAAGCTCCCGAGCTAGAGCCTGTCACATATAGAAACAATCTGCGACGCTCTGGTGCTGGCAGCGCGGCTGCTGCCACTCGCTCCACGCACGCTGCCGACAGGCGATCGTACATTGAGCCAAAACAGGCCAACAATAGCAATATCAGTCAAAATCAAATTCAAAATCAAAATGAAAATCAAAGTCAAAGCACACCGAATGCGCCGAAGTTTAGTGTAAGCGTCAAGGCTCTGGGCCCGCATGCTGAGAATAATCCCACCATGTCTGAGGAGAACGAGAAAGCCGTAAGTCAGTTGCTCAAGGATGGTAAGCGTCCAATTTGCTGTCAGTGCAATAAAGAGGTTACCTCGTAAGTATTACGCCCTGAACCAGTGCATGAGCATGCAATTTGTTCCCCAAAAGTGTCCATCTGATAGGGTGACTATAATTTGAATTATTTTTTATTATTCACAGAGGACCCTTCATCACGGCTTTGGGTCGCATCTGGTGTCCGGATCACTTCGTTTGCGTGAACGGCAACTGCCGCCGTCCATTGCAGGACATCGGCTTTGTTGAGGAGAAGGGCGATCTGTATTGCGAATACTGCTTCGAGAAGTACTTGGCACCCACCTGCAGCAAGTGCGCTGGCAAGATAAAGGTAAGGTCAGAATAGCGATCAAGGAGCTCTGAAAATAGTTGTTGAATCATTGACAGGGTGATTGCTTGAATGCCATTGGCAAGCACTTCCATCCTGAGTGCTTTACTTGCGGCCAGTGCGGCAAGGTCTTTGGTAACACACCGTTCTTCTTAGAGGATGGTAATGCATACTGCGAGGCCGATTGGAATGAACTTTTTACTACCAAATGCTTCGCTTGCGGCTTCCCTGTCGAGGCAGGAGATAGATGGGTGGAGGCTTTAAACCACAACTACCATAGCCAATGCTTCAACTGCACTGTAAGTAAACCGGAAAGGTTTTTCAGTAAAGGGAAATAATGTCATATGATTTTCTTTTTATCTGCAGTACTGCAAACAGAACTTGGAGGGCCAGAGCTTTTACAACAAAGGCGGCCGTCCCTTCTGCAAGAACCACGCGCGCTAAGTGCGCTCATAAGGCACCCTTTACAACTCTCTCGATTTCAGGGATCACGCATACTAACCAACTGGCAAACGGCAGAAGAAAGCAACTTCTGACAGCGCGTTCTCAACTTAACTTCATATGTAACGTATAGCTTATTATTGCAATTATCAACGCTAATAATGCTTAATCATTATTATTTCTATTTGTTTTAAAATGTGCACACGAGCACGAATGAATGTTATCCTATTTTTAAATGAGTAAACTATCCGCAAGCAAGCAGAAACCGCAAACGAAACGAATTCGATATAGCAAATTATCTTTTGTCCACCACATAAGAATAAAGAAACTAATAATTCATGAGCACACACATTGTCGATGTTCGTAAGCCATATATATCTTATAATTTTACAAATTTTATTTAGTCCGAAAAAAGGACAGAAGCAATTACGCGAGGTATTTTCAGAACGGTGGCCAATAAATTAAATAAAATAATTTGTACACAGTCAACAGTCAGTCGAGAACGACTTAACTTTAACTTCAATTCATATGTCTTCAAATTTTGTGTTGTAAACTAAAATGAGATTTGTAAAAATTGGTTTTAAATGGAAAAAGAAATCATAAGAAAATAAATTTTCGAAATCTTTATCGCGTTTAACTTGAATGTATGCCTACTGTCTGTTATGTGTATTTTTCAGTGAGCTTAACCCGAAGGTAAGTAACACACAAGAAGGGAATGCTAAATGCATCTTAAACACCCTGTACCAACTTAAAAAGAAAAAAAATTATTGATTTTATGGTTGCATTTTTAAATTAAAGCAAGCGGGAATGTTGCAGTCAAGCCTCAAAGCCAAGCCGAGCCAAGCCTCTGCAAATAATCGAGATTATGATGAATGCCCATACTTTTTGGACTTATAGCCAAAGATACAATAGCTTTTATCAGCTCTGAAAACCAAAAGTGGGAAAGAAATGACGAAAAGAGGCTGAGAGAAACGAATACCAGAGCACAAGAACCTCATTACGTTGGACCCCAGTGCTTATCCACATTGTTTCTGAATTTCGGTGAAATTTTATGAAGTGCCGCCCAAAAGTATGCAACACCCAAGAACTTCGTGGCGGTCAATACAGATTTCCGCAGCAATTTCATGCTCAACGAATTTTTGTTGTTTTCATTCGCCATTTGATACACTCCGGAATTTTCTCTTCTTCATTTCTGCCACAACGAAAAAGGTGTCAATTTCTGTTTCCACAGCGCATTTTTTCCTACAGTGTTAATCGCTGGCCCACTTACTGCCGCGTCCGTGGTAGTGGGTAGAGGTGGTTGGGTGAAGGGAGGTGGAGGGAAGTGGGCAGGATATGTTTTCATTTTCATGCCTTTTGGGCTGCAGCTCGAGTGAAGCCAACAAAATTTACGCTAGATTAAGCAGCGTGTGCGCATGTAGGACACGCACATGCTCAGCCTTGACGCCGGGCAAACACATCCGTGTATAGCCATATGCATGAATGTACATGCTACTGGGTTGTCCTGTTGTCTGGCTCAAAGCCAAAACGAAACGAAAAACGGCAATACACGTACACAATCCACAATCCACAGCCCACAACGAAGACACCAACGCAAATGCCCAGAAAAAACCAACTGTGGAATTTCACATTTTTCAACATTTAAAGTTTTGCCTTTTAGTTTATTGATCCTCGCACTACACGCAAAGGACTATAAATTAGTATCTATTGTACTTATACATGTAGTTCAGTATTTAATATTCAATAATGATAACACACATGCTCTCGCGTACTTGCTACATTTAAATTAATTTTTATGAATATGTTTTTTTTGCCTTAGCCTTTCGAAACGCACCCAGAAGTTCTCTGTTGCGTTTCTTGAAAATGCGCGCAATTTATTTTTTGTTTTGTCACCGTAACGTTCCGTTGCGAATTTACATAAACGTATTTATTTTAGTTTACTATCTAACACATGCTGGAAAAGCATTTGAAGTTTGTATTTACAGCTCGAAGAGTTTTTAGTAGTAATAGTTCTTGTTGTATTAATTGGTAGTATGCATTATTTTAGAGTTGATTTTCTTTTTTGGAATATTTTAATACTTCTATAAACAAAGGTTTCGATATAGCTACGTGCCGTGTGAAGTTACACGTCCACGGTTTTACAAAAATAAATTCAACACATTCAATTACAACAAACGTCTTATTGGCTAAACCTACTGCATAGTTTTAAATAACTACAAGTATAAATATACAAGTACATTCATGTTTATTTAGTCATAAGAGTACAGAGTGTTTTTGGGCTTTGTAATCAAACGCAGAAGTTGTAATAAAAATAAATACCTTTGGGTTAACGAGAGCTTTAAACAGAGTGGAATCAGAAATGAGAAACTCTATCTGTGTACCCTCAATAGAAGTTACACCAGAAATAAGATTTCTGATTGATTGCTCGTGACCATTCCACTTGATTTCGTTTTGGATTAGTTCAGCTAGATTTCCGGTTTTATTGCCAAAGTGCACAGACTTTTCGAGTAAGTCTATAAGTGAGCCAATATATCGATTTGATCAACTGCACTATTCTGGGCGGTGGAATGGTGGCTGCTGCCGCTATTCGCCTGCGAAATGGTCACAATGGTCACCAGGTCCTTGGCTGCCGTTACTGCTTTCGATGCTGCCGGGGCCTGCGTTTTGACGGTAGGACTGCTGGTCGCACTGTCCAGTCCCCGATTACTCGATTCGATTTCCACGATGGCTGATGTGAGCAATGTGTTTGACTGCAGTGTGCTGTAGTCGGCCAATTGCTCAGCGCCCGTTGATGGCTCGGGAAGGTCTTCGTTGGCGAGCAGTCGGCCCGATGGTGCCGTCTCAATGGTGCGCTCACTGCAGACTGTAGCCGGCGTGGCATTGCGCGAGCGGTAGCTTGGCGGCAGACTGTACTCGGAGCCGCCCATGCTGCTGCTGGTGCCGCCGCCCATGCCGCTGCGTAGTGTGGTCAGAGGTGCTCTGTGAAGTGGAGGAAAGTGAATGAAAGGTCTACATTATTTACAAGTTGCACGACATTTGAGCCAGAGTCAACTGACTTGTTGGCCATTGCTTCGAATGTGTTTACTGTCTGGCCATAAGTCGGTAAATATTTTAACGTAACGCACAAATTTGCATATGCTATTCAATTCAATTCTATTCCCTCTCTATGCAACTGCATACTGGTATCTCTGTCACTGCAGTGGTGGTAATTCAAATGTCTAAGCTGAGAGGAAATTGTTGCAAGTCGTCCTGTCCTCAGTTCCTGCTGCCTGTGGCCAAGTCACAGACAATTCACACTTCAATCGCTTTTATCATTAAGGCAAAAAGACAAAAGTCAACACTCATACGCTCATCTGAGCGTCACAGTACTGGCTGGTACTGGCTGTCCTAAATGCAAGATGAACACAATGGACACACAAATTTTTCAAAATTCAAATTTCAAAATTGTGTAAAGTAATTTCCAGCATGTAAAACGGCACTTAATAGTTCCGACAAAGAGTCCATGGAAAAGGAAACAGGAAAATAATCTGCATGTCAGGCAGCATAGAGTCTAAGCTTAACCATGCATCGTTAGCTCTCTCTCTCTCTCTCTCCCGCCCCCACACACACACACAGCGACAGACATAGGCCATTTTCATACCAAATTTTGCTGCTCGGATTTTCTTTGTTTGTTTAATTGACTTTTCTGTATGTTGTATCTCTGTGTCTGTGTCTGTGTCCGTGGCTTGGTCAGGCATTGTTGCGGCTGACGACTGTTGGCTGCTGCTTCATCATTGTGATAGATAGCCTTATTGTTATGCAGGCAGTGGAGCGTCTTATACAACAGCTCATAAAACGTGCGCAAATGCGTGCTTGTGTGCGTGTGTGTGTGTGTGCGAATATTTTACGAAATTTCACAGATTTCTTTGTTAGTTTTTTCCGTATACTATAGAATATAGTGTGTGTGCATGAAGTGTGTTCTAGAATATGTCAGCATTACATAGTAGTATTCAAGTGTGTGTGTGTGCGTATGTCAAAAACCAGCCGCAGCCTAAGAGTATGCTCTGATTTTCGCAAAGTTCAGATTTCTAGCATACTTTAGTGTGCTCTCGCCTTTCATCACTAAATTGCGTTTCTGTGTGTGTGTGTGTGTGTGTGTGTGTGTGTGCGTGCGCTAGTGTTTGTGACTACAAGTTGTAGGTAGTAGTATATGTACTTATTGTTAGCCATCATTGTTGTTGCTGTCGTTTTTATTTGCATTATACACCATAAATATTTAAATGCGGCTTTTGTGTCTTTTGTTCAGCACACAAATCTCAATGATGGGCCTCTCAAGTAAATTAATTTTACATAAATTTAATTTAATGTCTTAAGCACTTATCAAAGCCTTAAATACGGGCAAGGGCTATTGTTTCAACGGCTAGACCGCAATTTGTAGTCCAGCATACGCTGTATACAAGCATACTTGTATATATATTTATTTATAGCCGACTCGGGCAGTCAACTCAATATTTTTGTAACGCAATAAAACTCAAACTTTTCTAATTAGGAGCCATTATGCGATCAAAGCAGCAATTATCCTGAAAACTTGTCGCTTCTTCGCGCCGCCTTCTTGTGTTCATTGTAGCTGTTTGTTTTTCTTTCTGTGCCACTGTTGCTGTTGTTGGGGATGCTCCGTTGCCAGGCAGCCGCATCGTTTCTTTGGCGGCTCCTTGCCGGTCTCACTGTCATTTAAATTGTTTCAAATTGCTCCCCACTCAAGGGGTGGTTGTGGCCAGTCTATATGTGTGTGTGTGTGTGTGTGACTGGATAAGTGTCTGTGTGTCGTTTGCCTTATTGCCGCTTAGTTGCGTCTACCACTTGAGCAGCAAATTTGTTGCTGGGCATTGTGCAAAGTGGTTGAGAAGGGCAGCATTTAGGCGCAGTCCGAGTCGGTGACAATCGGATTGTGCATATTTAAATTGTTCCAAGTCTGGGGAAATTGAGTTATTGCGTGTATCAGAGGTGCTTTTGATGTAGTTGTCAGTTCACAGGGAGGATTTGACAATTTAAAGTCGATCTCAATTGAATGTTGAAAGTTGAAATTGTAAGTTAAAATGAAAGTCTGCCTCACTTTAAGCTAATTCGTACGTTCGTGTGGACACAGCTGCATTGTTTTTGTAAGCCTATTAGTTTAAATTACAGACAACTTCATTGCCAGAAACAACAAAAGGCATTTGTACAATGTTCACAGTGAGAAAATTGGCAGCCGTATAAAGTTTCGTTACATTAAAAAATTGCCAAACTTTTGCCAGGCAATGTGTCAATGTTAACACTCGACCAAAAACCGCACAAAGCCAAACCGCTTGCCTGATGCTGCATGTTTTTGTTGGCCCTGTTGTCGTTGTAATTCCAGTTGGTGGCTGCGGGTGTTGTAAGCATTTCGTGGTTGCAGTAAAAAGTTTGCGCAAATTTCTTGTCAAGGGTCGCTCGTTTTCGATGAGGGTGCGAATGTTTATGTTTATGTGAGTGGAACTTTAAAAGGCCGACCACACAATCTGCGCTTGGCATAATATGAACTTTACTTACCTCAGCAGGCTGCCGGCATGTGATCGATATGTGGGCGGAGGCGAGTTGCCACGCACCACGCCGTTCTGTCGATCGCGGTCCAATAGCAAGAGTCTGTTGAAACAGAAGAAGAAGGGGAAGCGGTGTGTGTGTTAATATAATGTAAAATGCAACAGCAAAAGGCTCTCGCAAATAATGCAATTAATTGTGCAGGGACATGCGAACGGAAGTGCGCTGCAGACTGGACAGTAGAGAGCAGCCTGCCAATCTCACACACGCACACGCAAGCTCACACTCACACTCGCCATTGCGCCTCCACGACACGGACAGCGGACCACAAATTGTGGCCAGCCGCATTTTAGCGGCAGTCGAGCATGACAAGCATGTTTGTTCGTGTGCGTGTTGCACCGATATCCTTTGTATCCTGCATGCATTTATAATACTCTGTCGGGGAGTATTACATTTATAAATCAGCTTGATTTGTGTTCCTCTTGCTATGCATAGTGCCTAACGAGTAAGTAGTTGATAGTATATCGAAGGTAATATACAAAATATAAATACAAGTATGATGAGTCAATTCTCGATTAATCACTTTTTTCAATAAATTATAAATTCAAATTTAATAAAAACTTGTTATCATATGTTCCTTCCTCCTAAAGACTATTCCAGGATGCCTATGAATTGCAAATTAAATCAAAAAACACAATTGAAAATTTGCAAAAATATGCAAATGCCTTGTCTGCAAATATTTTCTTATAAAACTCTAAAAGGCACTCGAATGTTATTTAAGCAAGTTCTTGTTTTTTCGTTAAACAAAACCAACTCCCTTTAAAAGGAAATGATAATCAAAGACATGTTGAATTGCAGTAGCAAGGGAATAAAACATTCAGCATACTGAAAGGGTTTTGGATTGTGTCTCTTTTTTCGTACAGCCCTTTGCATGTAACAATGCATATAATTTACTGCCCCTTCGACTCGCCCCACCCAAACGCACCTCAGTCGATATTCCTGCATGCTGGCCTGATACGAGGGTGGCGGCGGGCGATGTTGAAACTCCGGATACAATAGACCATGTGGTGCACCGCCGCCGCGACTGCACGGCCGGCGACCGCAACGACCCAAGTCAACGCTGCTGCCCAGTCCGAGGCACGACTGACCACCAGGTGCCGTCATCCGCCAGGCAGCGCCGCTCACAGTGACCAGCACAACGCCAACGCCTGCAAAAATAGTGAGGGACAAAATATACGTTAAAGCCGTCGCCATCGCCGTGGCCTGTGGTGGCCATTGTTCACAACGCCGCCCAATTAATGGCCAAGTAATGGCAGCATTTGAAATTTAATTATCCATCAACTCGGCCAGTGGGCGTTTCGTGCACTTTAAGTGCTTCAAACGCAAACGGCCTCAAAATTATTATTGATATTTAAAACAAAAGCAGCAGTATAAGCAACAACAATACCATCAGCCATCTTGCCGTACTCGACTGAGCCACAGTCTCAGTCTCAGCCTCACTTTCACTTTCGCAAAAAGTGCAAGACCTGCCGGAGCGACGCGCTTTCGTTTCATTTTTCTCTTCTTCTGCTTGCCATTTGCATAAATTTATTTATTTACTCGAATGTGAACTCAACGCTCCGTGCACAATTGACAACTGCATGTCACTAACAACAATAAGTCGAGCGTGTCATCTTTGCAGCCAGCCAGCCAGTCTGCTAGCCAGCCAGCCAGCCAGATAGTTATTTAGTTAGTTACCTGTGGGCCTCAATCTACACAAATCTGGACTCCAACTAAAATGTTATTGAATATTACAGGTTAGAAAAATACAAGATAGAGGATAGAGGAGAGGATAGAGATAGAGGATTTAAAGATGAGTTGCTTCATTTTTACTTAATCAAAAATGTCGACAAAAGTTGTGTGAAACAATCAAAACACTTCTCACCAAATATGATAGCAGACTATAGTACGATTTATTCTTTCAAGAGTTCGGAAATCAACTACACAACTGGCTATATAATATACGAGGAGTGGAGCGACACTTTAAATAAGGATAAGCATTTTTCTGCGTCTGTGTATGGTACGGATATTCAGTTTTATGCTGTGATTATTTATTAGTAGTTGTGGCTGACAGATCTTGAGAGCTCATACTCGTAGTATTCTTGATCGTTAAGCCGCTTTTCACAAAATTGTAAACTTCTCTAATGATTCGGAATTGGAAATGAACACATACCTTTTTTTACAATTTTAAGAATATTTAAGAATTTAAGAATATATAGTAGTATTTATAATTAATATAAATACTCGGATGGTGGAAACAGCGTGTACACCAATTAGTCCCAGATAGTTTTTCAATGAATTATGTGCCCGTAACAATTGTGTATCCTGCCTAAGTTGCGACAAAGCTATCCTTTTTTCAACGCAGGATGTGGACATTTCTTCATACAAGCACATTCCAGTACAAAAAGCTTTATTGACATTTTTACGATACTATTTATTTTATTTTAAACTTGTCATCATCATTTTGCGAGCGTTACAAATTATTGCTGCTACTGCTTTTTTTATACATATGTATTTCTTTTCTATGATGCGACATCATTTTCACGAGCTATTTACGCGCCAATTTTAAACACAACCCTACTTTAAGGCTGAAAGAAGAGGCCCAAAAAATAAAAGTTATGACATTTGGCAAGAGCAGAGAAGCCAAAGCCCTCGCCGTTGTCAACATTTGTGTTGCTGACACACATACATACATATGTATATGTACATATTTACATCATTATATATAGTATATATGTACAAGTACAATTGTTGTTGTTAGTTGGCTGACTGCCTGCCTGCTTGGCTGGCTGCCGAGCGGCCGAGCTACTGAGCTCCGGAGTCGTCTGACTGCCTAACTGCCTGACTGCCAGACTGCCAGACTCTAGCTTGATTGCCATTAAATTATGTAAAATGTTGTTACAATGAATTTTTGGTAATTAACGCTGAAAATGGCGCAATGTCACGCTTCGAGTCCGCAAATTAAGTGCCACAGCAATTGATTAGACTGCTTGTATACGAGTATGTCTATATACTTGTACTTATATACTATGTGCGCGCGTATGTTCATACAAATACTACATAATAGAGGATGTGCGCGTGTTAGAAATCGGCGTGCACTTGGCTCAGGTGTTTATACCGTCTATGGGCAGCATAACAGTGATGAGCTAGTTTCAAACTAAGTATATCTACGATTGAACATCATTTTAGATATATGAAGGTAATTCGTATTCCCAAAATCGTCTAACCTAAGCATTTAGCTGACTTGCTAAAATTAGTTTGAAGTTTTCTTTCCTTTAAAATGCACTAAATGAGTTATGTGAAATCCTTATAATGAAATTGAATATACATTAAATCAACACATTGCAGCTTTCTTTTTGAAATGGTATAGGTATAGTTATATTCAGCAGTCCACTTGCTCTGATATATTTCTCTATCTCACGTCGTAGATTAATTTAAATTTATATTTATAATAAACAAAAGCGACATGGTCACATACAATTATTTGGCCTTTACGGTAATTATTTTTAAAGCTGTACAATAATTAAGTATTTTAGTTTTCCACAAACATCCATGAAACTAAAAGGTTGTTCATTATTAATTCTTTTCATATTCGTTTCGACTGCCTGCTCGCAATTAGTTTTGTAGACCAAAACAACTAATTTTTTCCGCGTGTACTTGTGCTGCCCAAAAGTGAAAAAGTGTGTCTTCTGCTCGCGTCTAGTAATGAGCATGCTCAGCCGGAACTGTGTGGCTCACTAATATTGACATATTTGTCAGACACATAACATCAATAAATTGTTTGTTCTTCGAACTGGGTCAGTAGATGTAGAGTTAAGTTCCATTCGTGGTCGCGGCCCGAGTCGAAATTACACAAATGCTCAGATTGTCATTGGCGACGAATACAACAACAACAACTACAATAACTACAAAAAGCTCACGGCTATAATTGTAGCAATTGTTTGGAACACATCGAAAGCAAACAAACAAGCGTACACAAGTACAAATAAACAAGAAAATAAACTAACATTTTCACACAGCGCCGAACATAATGGACGCAAATGTTGAACTCCGTGTAAATGTGTATCATTAAAGGAAGACGACATCGACGGCGCCATTTTTATGTCATTTGTATGCGTTTCTGTTGTTGTCGTGTGACAATTTTGCGTTTTTATTTTGCAATTACGTAATATTTGATGGCGTTGTTGTTGCTTTTGTTGCTGCTCCTATCTTTAATGGATTCGCCATTACTCACCAATCATTAGCAGGGCAGCCGTCAGCTGTGAGTTTGGGGGACCGGCCAGCCCTGTGGCGCCCAGCGCCGCACCGGCCAAGGCGCAAGCCACGCCCCCCAGGGCGACTACAGCAATAAGCGCACGCAACGGCGGACCGGCAAACCATTGGCCGCAACAACCCTTGCCAGAACGCTCCGAGGGGGATCTGCAAAGAGAAGAGAAGCACAATAATAAGTCAAAGGACATGGATGGGTAAGAAAATTCATTGTTAGTTCTGCAGCTGGAAAAATTCTGCAGGAATTTCCGACAAGGTAGTGTGCGTGTGTGTGTGTGTGTGTGTGTGTGAGAGAGCAGGTGTGTCTTGGCAAACAGCAGAGGAAGAAGTTTTGGCAACACCGTGGGCGGTGACGCGACAATTAAACGAAATGAAGCAGAAGTACAAAGCGAGCCAAGGACCCTTGCAGGCAGGCAGAAGAGTGAACCATGCTGTCTGCCATCTGCTTTGTTTCGGGAATGCCCAACCAGCCCGGCAGCGGCAACGCCAACGCCACCCAGAAGAAAGACTGAGACTGAGACTGGGACTGGGACAGGGACTGAGAAAGCGACAGGCACATGGACAGGGACACAAAAGCACAGTGTTGTAATTTTATGATTTATGAGCCGAAAGACCAAAAATTTGCGCACAACAAAGCGCACAGAATGGAGAATACGAACAACGAACGGGCAGACGGACAGCAACAGGAAGGCATCTCTAAAGCGTAGAACATTTTGCGTGTTTCCCAACCAACAGAGACAGAGAGGCAAAGAGGTAGCAGCCACAGGACAGAAGGGCAGGATTTATGCGACGTATCTGCAATACGTGTGTGCGTAAATTCATTAAAGCAGCTCCTTCTTTATGGCCACCACCCCACGCCCGGCTGACAAATAAAAGACACGACAACGACAACCCCTTCCTGGACAAAGAATCCAAAGCCAAGGGCTTGCCAAACAATTAGACGCAAAAATATTTATAGTCTAAAGGAGGCAGCTAGAATCTGGATCTGCATCTGTTGCTGGCATCAGTTGCCATTTTCGCCACTTTCGACAATTCATTTGGCCTTTAAGGCCCTCCAGATAGCGAGCATCCCTCCGAACGCTTTCGGTTGTGTCATCGACGCAATTTGACCAAAAGATGATAAATTGTTGGAAAATTACGTGCATAAAAAGGCAACTCAATAGCTGCGGAAATTTATGTATAATGATTTGCCGTGTGTGTGTGTGTGTGTACGAGTACGTGTATGTGTTGTCACTAGGGCTGTTGGGCGTTGCGTAAGAGGATTTTGGATTTTTATGACATGCCATTAAAATATATACAACTCGCTCTCTCCTCGCCACATACATCCATAGATAACACATGAAAAGGTTGCCTTATACGCACACACTTCATATACTAAGTGTTGCTGGTGCCTTGTCTGGCTTTCCGCCTGAGGCCGCAATGTTTCATCGCCTTTTATGAGAGCGAGAGTATGTGTGTGTGTGTGTGTGTGCTGTTATTGTTATATTGTTGTTGCTGTTGGTGTGTGTGTGTGAGTTCATGTGCCGCGGCATTAATGTTTCATCAGTTGTCATGCCATGATAAATACGATCTTTTTAGCGCATCATCAGTCACAAGACTGCTGCATGGCCAAGGTGTTCACACAAAAGCGGAAATGAGTGCGCAATAAGGCGAAGAGATAGCGAAATGATGTTCTCTTTCATCTTTTAATTATCGTTGCCAGCAGTAATTGGTATTGGTGTTGGGATCTATAGAAAAACACACTGTACTCATTTTATTCTAAACATTTAGCTTGAAAAGTAATGGTATTATTAAGATTTTAAAATGCACAATCATTTTGAATTTCCTATAATATTGGAGGTGACATTATTTGTAGAGACAAATGCTAAAATTTTAATTTTTAAATTATAGCAAAATTTGAAGCAATTAAAGGAATTTAAAGACATATGTATGACAAATTTGTACTAGTATGATACGCCTATATAAAATCGCTTTTAATTGGGAAGATTTCTATATGTTTCGAACACGGATATTACGTTTTCGAATTTTAGTGCAAGAATTGGGATATTTTTATACTCTGTACATGAAATGTACAAGAGTATATTAGGTTTGCGGGAGCTGAAAAATGTAACAGGCAGAAGGAGGCGTGGCAGACCCCACAAAGTATATATATTCTTGATCAGCATGACGAGACGAGTCGATCTAGCCCTGTCTGTCTGTCTGTCCGTCTGTCCGTCCGTATGAACACCTGGATCTCAGAGACTATAAGAGATAGAGACACCAAATTTTGCACGAAGATGCGTTATGTGTGTATTCTATACGAGTTTGTTTTATTTTTTTGATTTTCCCCCCCACTTCCCCCCTATGGGGGTTTTCCCGATTTTCCATTCGTATAATCGCCTATATCTCGGAGACTATAAGACCTAGGAACACCAAATTTTAGTCCCAGATGCCTTATGTGAATACGCAGAAAATGTATATTTTGGAATTCCCCTCCCTCCCCCCTCTACCCCGCAAATCGTAACTCCCGTAATTCTTGGAATTTCGAACTAAAATTGGAAATACCCCCAGTTGGTTATTATGTGTCCGTATGCCAAATTTCATTATGATAGACCGATTTAACAAGAAGTTATAGCCATAAATATATTTGCTGATGCAGCGCTGCTCAAGCGCTGCCCGCGGCTGTTGTTGATGTTGCTGTTTGGTTGACTGCGAAAATGCTTACACAGACACGAATAGATGCGCATAGGCATACATACACTCACACAGACGCAATTGCTATGTAAATGTTCAATTATACACCCTTTACGTGAGTTCGAATACCGAGAGAGGTAAAATCTATCAAATTTTTTTTGTTTATTTTCTTAATTTTTTTTAATTTCTATATTTATTCTAAACATATGTACAGAGTATTTCAAAGTCGGTACACCCGACTTTAGCTTTTTTACTTGTTTTTTAAGTAATTACACCATAATAGGCGTGTTGCTGATTATGCTATAAACTATATTTACATAAAAACTATATTTACATAATGTTTATTACCAAGCGGTTAACAGTGTTAAGCTCCAACATTTGTATTTTTTCATTCCATAAAGAAGTTATTCTTTAGACTGTTACGCTGTTAAGAACAGAAGCCGCTTAAGAGCGTACAAGCAGCGCTGTTAGACTCAAATGTTGCTAAGCGGCTACGCTGTTAAGTATTATGCTGTTAGGTGTATGAGACAATGTAAAAATGCTGTTTAAAACTCGGGCTTCCTTATGGCTTTTATAATTTCTTTATAATTTCTTTATAATTCGATTGTACCCCTCTCTCGTAGAAATTACACGCTACAGACGAAGCAACAAAACTAGAATTAGACTTTACAGATTTTTAAATGCAATTTCAAAATAGAAAATAAAACGAACTTTGGGCCCGGGACCCATGCAGTGCTGTTGAACCCAACAACAACATTGTGGTGAGCGAGGCGGTACGTGCTACAAGAACGAAATGATTGATTAACAAATTAACGTCGCAGCGAGTGTCGAAAACGGGTCGGCGAACAATAAGAATCCACAACCTGGGAACCTGGGAAACCTACGGCCCTGCATAAGCAGCGCGACTTAGGGGAGTGCGGGAGTAAATGAGTTGGGGAGGCGCGGACATTGACGCTTCATCGTCATCGCATTTCGAACTCAAATTATGCGTCATTAGGCAACATGAATATGAATATCAGAATATCAGACTATCAGTATTCAAGTTACAATTGCAAACAGACAGCGAGCATAATTATAATGAGCCCGGGCTGGTTTGGAGAATCAAATGACCTACGTGTTACGTACGATGTTAAGGCTGTGCGCGCAACTCAAACGCAAGGCGCTAATTGTGTTGAAAATTGTCTAATGGAGCGAACAAGAGGGGGGCGAAGTAAAACTTGTATTAGGCAAGCACCAATTGCGCATTTGCTTTCGTAAATATACAAGTATGCTACACAGCTTACGATGTATTCATAACATTGTAGAAAACTGCTAGACAGCCAATATACTCGTACGTACGTACTACTAGTTGTAGAAAATATTGAGTATTTGTTGTGTGCGCGTTGTTGGCTTACCTTCGCATTTAAGTGGTTCAGGGGCAGTCGGCTGGTACCCATATGGGTAGCGCTAACTAGAATGGCTGTCAGTGGCACAGTAGCTTACAGCACTACTGACAGGCAGCAAGTCAATTTGTCAGTCAGTCAATCAGTATTAACATTAATATTACCATTACCATTACTATTAACTGGTTGTGTGGTTCGCATGTTCGTTCAATTTATTAATTAAAGTTCGTAATTATCAACATTGACACACATTTAACTGAACTGCTGAACACTAAAAACTGCTGATGGCACTTAACCAGAAACTTTCATTTTTGCAATGTTTACAACATTTATTTAAATGAGCCACATCCTGGGCAACCATCCGAGTGAGAGTTTCGACCCGAGTTCGAGCTGGAGCTGTAGCTGTAGCTATAGCTGGAGCTCGAGTTCGCGCTTCAGTTCGAGTGCGGCCAGCACTGCCAGCTGCTGTCATTTTGACATTTACATGCGAGTGCACAATTTACAATTGATTAAGCAATTTCATCATCGAGTTGCCCAAGAAGCGAGGAGTGAAACGAGCCGCTTGCTGTTGGTATTGTTCCGCTTACAAGTTCATTACGGTAAACACTCTCCATTGCTTCATTTGGCAAGGAGATTGATGAACCTTTTATCAGAGCGCACTTCCGACCACGTCCACTCAGTCAACAACAGCTGGAACAGCACAAACACTGCCCGCCAAACTGAAACTGTGAAAGGCAATATACATGTAATCGTATAAGCCACTTTTCAACAGCCAATGGGCCATAAATTCCTAGCTGCCCGAGCACACAAATTGTTCAAACAATTAACATGCCCGTAGGTTACATTATTCGCGAGTGCGCTAATCAAGGCTTTATAACGAGCGGCAGTACTGAGCTGGCGTGGCGGACTAGAGTAAAAGTAACTTAATGTTATATATCTTATCAAGAAATGGCGTTCACAGACAACTATCGTACGTATACGAATAGTCGCTATGTGGATGCACTTTGTGGCCTGCCTGGCGGAAATATTTTGCGGAAATTCAATTGGCAGCTTAACCGCAAGTAAAAGTAATTGGTAAGAGCAAATGGCCAAATG